CCCCCCCCCCCCCCCCCCCCCCCCCCCCCCCCACACACACACACGCACACACACAAATACATGAAGGGGAAGAGTGAGCCAGAGAAAGACATTGTCACACACTCACACTCACCTACTTCCACATTGGGAGGGGCGTGACTGTTTTGCCAGCGCTTGTGCAGAAGTCTTCTTGCCCAATTCGCCTGCATGTCCAGTCTTGTGCACAAGCCCGTTGGCATGGCCACCAGAATTGCCGGTCTCACTTTGCCGAGACGCGGTGTGAAAGAGCCGGACGACCGGACAAACGGGCACATGGATGGGTGGACGGGTGGACGGGTGGACGGGTGGATGAGAGGGATTGTGGGACTGACGCTCGGTTGGCTAATTGGCGGATCGTGACGCCTATCGAGAGCCGGTGGTTGTAGAAGCGAAAAAAGTCCGCCCGGCCAGCCGACCAGCCGATCAGCCGGCCAGAAAGAGAGTGGTTGGCAGGTGGGAGCGCCCTGGCGACCGGAGGACAGCTCCTGCCTGCCAGCGAGGTGGTAGCGAGGCGCTAGCTGGACGGCAACGAGGCGGTAACGAGGCGGTAACGAGGCAGCGCGGACTTGTGCGGACAGGTGCAGCTTGCGGGATCCGGCCGCCAATGTCTGTACTCGACTCGGTTTACACGCGCTTTTGCGCTCGTCTTCCTCAAAAGCCAGTTGGTCGTCTTGTCTGCTTTGTCCGTCTGTCACTGTGCCAACATGTCGGCGTATCTGTGCGTCGGTGGCCGAAAGGAGGCATGAGGATGTATACATTTATATATATATATATATATATTTGTGTGTGTGTGTGTGTGAGAGAGAGACAGTGTACAGAGGCAGAAAGAGATGACTGATTCACAGGTCGTCTCGGACAGGCGGACAGCGCCAACAGCGTGTAAAACGGCAAAAGCAACACCACCTCGAAGAGCACAAAGTGCGGCAAAAGCGACAAAGCCTCGAGCAAAACACAGCCGCCAGCGTCAAAAGCGTAAACAGTGTCAAATTCGCTAAAATAACCACCACCAACAGTGTAGGTAGCATGAGTAGCATCGACAACATTAAAAACAGGGGGGCAAAATCAGCTCCGATTGCACGTTAAAGCAAGCAAACATCAACCTCACCCCGACTAACACGACAACAATAGCAACCTTGACAACAACGGCACCTCAACCAGCAGCAGCAACAACTCAAGTTGCACAAATGTCTCCAGCAGGACAAGGGGCAGCAACAGAAAAATTACAATGACGATACAACACAAACGGTATCAGCAGTACCACAAAGCTATCAGCACCAACATTGTCCCCAATGCCGCAAAGCTACCAGCACCGACAGAACTAACGGTACCACAAAGCTATCACTACCAACAAGACCATCAGTACCAACACGATCATCAGTAGTAATACGACCATCAGTACGAACAAGACCAACAGCACCACAAAGCATTAGTACGAACAGCGTCAACTGCAACAATACGACCATCAGTACCAACAATACCATCAGTACAAATACGATCATCTGTACCAACAAGTCTATCAGCACCACAAAACATTAGTACTGACAGCATCAACAACAACAAAATGACCATCAGTACCAATACGATCATCAGTACCAACAAGACAATCAGTAACAATACGATCATCAGTATTAACAGGACCATCAGCACAAACACGATCATCAGTACCAACAAAACCATCAGTACCAACAAAGGCTATCAGTACCAACACGATCCTCAGTACAAACAAGTCTATCAGCACTACAAAACATTAGTACTGACAGCATCAACAACAACAAAATGACCATCAGTACCAATACGATCATCAGTACCAACAAGTCTATCAGCACCACAAAACATTAGTACTGACAGCATCAACAACAACAAACTGACCATCAGTACCAATACGATCATCAGTACCAGCAAGTCTATCAGCACCATAAAACATTAGTACTAACAGCATCAACAGCAACAAAATGAACATCAGTACCAAAAAGACTATCAGCACCAACACGATCATCAGTACTAACACGATCATCAGTACCCACAAGTCTATCAGCACCACAAAGCATTATTAATAAC